AAACTAGAGTTCGTATATTTCTTCAAGTATCCCATAATAGTCCTTGCCATCAGTTCCGGGCGTCATAACTCCGGTATTTGTGGTCCTTCGATGCGGCCGACTCTGCTCATAGCTTGTTGTGTGAAAGCGATACCCATTGACGTCATAAACGTTACATGACATGACCCTAAAGTTGAAGCCATCGGCAACCTACCGCAATTCGGCACTTATAGACGCATCCCTGTAGCACTGCAAAGTCAGGCTAGAGCGTTATGTTATTCACACAAACGACCAACTTGAAATCAAGAAACAAGGGAGAAGTTGGACGGTACCTTCTTTTGGAACCAAGAAATGAAATCCCGCTCCTTAAGAATGGTATCAACTTCATGAGGGCGAGGTCGCCTTGATTGACGCCAGAATAGATTAACAAATTCCCTGTGTAGACAAGAAACATGACGGGGTTGGATGCAGAATAGTGACGGTATAAGTAACAAGTTTGTTGAGAACTTACTCGATATACGGCGCCACTTCATCTAGGTTGGCCAACAAATATAGCATGATACTGCGCCACTCTTCATTGCTCATGGTCTTTGGGCTCAATGCACTCGCTCTTCCGAGTGACCCATTCAAAAGGCTGAGGGTAGATTTATTTTCGTCCTCATTGTAATGAGCTGGTCGATTATGCACGCTAGGAAGGTTGCCCTTATAGTATGTTGTTGTGAAGTTTGACACCTCCTCGTTAATGAACGCCTCTGCCATGGAAGCCTCAATTCTGGCTTTATTTCCACATTTCTTACGAATAGTCTTTAGACATCTCTCGATTGGATAGCACCAGCGGTTCTGCACGAGGCCCCCCCATTCATGCCTCGTACGGGAGGTGCACAATCAAATGCTACATCGACAGGAAGAAGCCGGGTGGAAATATCTTCTCCAACTTACAGATCAACTCAGGGGCTCTTTTTTCCAAGTCAGCCACCATGTTTCGAGATAACTCCTTGGCACAAAGCTGGCGGAAGAAATAGCTCAACTCTGCCAGCATGATCCAGACATGCTCAGGGACAAAGCCTCGAACCATCGACGGAAAAAGGCGCTCAATCCATATGTGGAATTCGTGACTCTTCATCCCTAAGACTCGGCCAGTAGATGGGTTGGCCCCCCTCTTAAGATTCACTGCAAACCCATCAGGAAACATTAAGTCCTTGATCCATTGGACTACAACCGTCCTGAGCTTCTTTTCCAAGACGTAATCGCCCTAGGACTTCTCCATGTCTTGCTGGCTCTTGGTGGTCGCATCTCTAGGTGTGGTCTATCGCATAGCCTTGCTAGGTCCACTCTAGCCTTAGGGTTGTCCTTTGACTTGTCAGTGTCCATGAGTGTTGCCCAGAGAACTTCGGCGACATTCTTCTCAGTGTGCATTACATCAATGTTATGTGCCAGGGCCAGGTGCTTAAAATAGGGAAGCCTCTCCAAGCCCGACTTATGAGTCCACATATGTTGAACACCATACCCCACAAAACCAAGTCCGTCTTCCTTGGCAACAAGACCATCTAACTGAGCAAGAACCTTGGCGCCAGTCATCTTCTGCGGTTCAAGGTCTGTCACTACGACACCTTTCGTAAAGTTCTTAATGTCTCGTCTGAATGCATGGTCAAGAGGAAGGAATTGTCGATGTGTGTCGAACAAGGAAAACTTGCCACCACTCTTCAACCTAATGAACTGTAGAGCTGCCTTCCATACCGGGCATGGGAACTTCCCGTGGACACACCAGGCACTGAATAGACCATACACCAGAAAGTCCTGCATCGAGTAGTGGTACCAAATGTGCATTGTGAAGTTCCTCTTTGTAGCACGGTCGTATGTCAGTACCCCGTGATCCCATGCACTGATCAACTCATCAATCAAAGGCTCCATGAACACACCCATATGTTTCCCCGGATGACCAGGAATTATCAGTGACAAGAATATGTTCTGACATTGAAGAAGGACACCGGGGGGGGAGATTGAGGGGGATAACGAAGATTGGCCAACAAGTGTATGGGGCCGCCATCATTCCAAAAGGATTGAACCCATCTGTTGCAAACGCAACACGCACATTACAAGCCTCTAGAGCTTTGTCAGCATAAATGCCATCAAATGTTTGCCATGCTTCACCATCTGATGGATGTACCATCTTGTCAGGATTGTATCGGATGCTATTTTTGTGCCATGTCATCTGTTTCGCGGACTCCTCGCTCATGAATAGCCGTTGGAGTCTCGGTATGAACGGAAGGTACCGTAGGACTTTCATGGGGATTCGAAGCTGCTTCTTCTGCCCATCACTAGATTCTACCTCCACATACCTAGAGGACTTACACTTTGGACAGTACTTTGCTTCCGCGTGTTCTTTCCTAAAGAGGATGCACCTGTTCTCACAAGTGTGTATCTGCTCATACGGCATCTTAAGAGCTTTGAGGAGCTTCACTGACTCGTACATGTTCTTCGGCAGCGCGTGATCTGCCGGAAGCAGGGTCTCAAAAACTGCCAGCATACTATCGAAGCAGTCTCGACTCATGTTATGCATGGACTTTAACCCCATTAAGCGTCCAATGGCATCGAGTTGAGAAACATTTGTCTTGTCATGAAGGGGCCTCTTAGCCGACTCCATCATGCGATAGAATGCCCTTGCGGTTTCCTCTGGCTCCTGCTCCTTGGTTTCGTCCGTACATCGTTCACCGAAGTGTGCTTGGTGGAAGTCATCCATCATGTCTGGTACCCCGCCATCACTATCAAACTCCTCCAAGCGTGGCCTCAATGCCTCATCTCTAATACGATGGCCTTTACCATGGCACACCCACCGGGTATAGTCTGGCGTAAACCCAAACTTGCAAAGATGTTCCTCAATGACCTTCCTGGTTTTCCTATTCCTGTTTGCACATTCGCTGCAGGGACACCACACCTCTATCGCTGCTTGAGCACCCACACCAAATGCTTTGTCCAAGAAATCCTCAGTCTTCTGTATCCATTCACGAGTGACCTGATTCTGACTATGGCGGCCCGTGTACATCCAATCACGGTTATCCATCATCTACCATATATATAACAAAGTAATATAACCATCAATAGCATATGCACCGCTTGCCTACTATCTAATAGGTAGGGATAGGTCCTAATCCCACCCGCGGATGCGTAGATGAGGTTAGTTTCTATGCTCCGCTCTAATCCGAGATAGAATTTTGGCAGCACATCCCCGCTGTTCTCCCGATACACGTCCTGGAAGGGAGAGTGTGTATCCAGAGAACAACATGGAGGTGCTGCCGAAACCCCATCTCGGACCGGATCGGACCATACAAACTAAATCATCTACGCATCCACGGGTTGTCCAAATAACGTGGACAATCCAAAACAGATACGGTCGCAGATATGCAGAGATCCGCATACCTATGACCGTATCTCTTTCGGACGGGAGACGCCTAACTGGTTTACGTTATCTAGCTAGGGTTACGGACAAAGGGCTTATACCTAGGGTGGTGGTGGAGTGGAGAGGTGACGCGGTGCAGGCAGACCCGAAGGAAGACGCTCGGGGTACTCCGGGTCCCCTCCGTCGGGCTCTTCTATGCAAAACAAGAAACACAATTTATAAGTTCAAAATTTTGGCAGAACCTCCCCTGTACGGGGAGGCTTCCAAAACCTACAAAGAAAAAGATGGCACGATGGCCGACATCCACAATTTCAGCACGATGGCCAACACAGCGACATATGGCACGATGGCCAACACATCCACAAAAGGCACGAAGGCCCACTAATCCAGAAATGGCACGAAGGCCAGCAACAGGCGGGAGGGGGGCTTTACCTTGGGTGGCAGTGTAGTCGGGCGACGCGGAGTTGGGATCACCCTCGTCTTCGGCTAGACGCGGGGAAAACGGCGACGACCGCTCGGCGTGACGCGACGACACGGGGGCGTGACGTTCATCGGCCTCTCCTTCTCCCCTCCTCTCTTCTCCCTTCCTCTTCTCCCCTGCTCTCCTTCTCCTCCTCTTCTCCCCTCCTCCTCCCTTCTCCCCTTCTCCTCTTCTTCTCCCCTTCTCCTTCTCCTCTCTTCTCCCTTCCTCCTCCAAATGCTCTCTGCACGGCCGGCAGGGGCGGGGTGGGCCACCGGTGGGCGTGGCCGGGGGGCGGCGGCGGTGCCCGACCACTGGGCGAGGCGGGGGACGACGCTGCCCCAACGACGACGATGCTCGGCGGGCCGGGCTGCTGCTCCGGCGGCGCGGGGACGGGGCGGGGGCGGGGGCGGGGGAGAGGCTGCGGCAGCGTGGGGGACCGGCGGCGGCGAGAGGAAGGGGATGCGGGGCGCGCGGGCGAGAGGAAAGGCTGAGTGGGCCATGAGTGGTTTATGTGGACTGGGCCTTTGCCGAGGGCCCAGATCCGGGCTCTCGGCAAAGTTTTTTTTTTTTTATTTTTAAAACTCTTTGCCGAGAGCCCTTTGAGGCTCTCGGCAAATACAAAAAAAATTGTTTTTTTCCCAATTTTTTTCTGGTGGCTAACAATAATATTTAAAAGACATATTCAAAATTTGGAGTTTTCTTGATTTTATTAGCTATATTTAATAAGTTTATTTCATTTACTTGAATTCTTCCGGGTAATTTAAATTTGAACTGCAGGTGCATTGAATATTGGAATTAAGTGATTCAAAAAATCATATTCATGGTATTGCATGTGGTGTGAGACCGTATCCAGTGAGAGATGCCAAATTTGGCGCATCGTTTTCACGGAACACGGCGAGGAACTTGCGTGTAAAGAATTTTAAATTATATAAAATAGAAACGAAGTCCGAAATTCACGAAACTTATCGAGGTGTCATTTCATCGCATGTATAGGGTGTGATAAAAAATAGAGTGGATTTCGAACAAGTTGCGACGTCCGATGCCTAAAACCCAGACATCTCCGCATGTGATGAAAAATATTGTTCCGGTTGATTTGCTGTGAGAGAAAAATACTGTTTCGCCTTGGAAAAAAAACTGAAAAGTACGGATTATAAGAAGTACTTATTTGGTGCTTAACCCAGGTTTCTCTCCCTGCCTTTTGCCGATCAGGCGCTTCTCTTCTCTTCTCCCACTGCTCCTGTGGACGAGTTCTCGCGGCGGCGGAGAGATGACGCCCCCCCAGTGGTGTCTGCCTTGCCGGACTTGTCGTCGCCATCGCCCTTCCACCCGGCGCCCGGCGCAAAGAGCGACAGCAGCCTCGCCATGGCGCTCCTGACGCTCCCCGCCCACCACACTGCTGGCGTCGTGGGCGCTGCCCTCCATGACGCGCACGGATGCCACCGAGCTCGTCACGTGCCTCAGCCTGTGCGACATGAGCAGCTCGAGGCGCACGTGCTCGGGCAGCCGCAGCGCGAACCGCTCCATCCCGGCGTCGTCGCTGGCGCTGTGACCCGTCGAGTTGGACCGCGGCAGCGCCTGCCGCCCCGCCGCGCGGCGGTTCCTCGCGAGGCGCTGGATCCTAGTCCAATCCTCTTCTTCCCCTTCCGCGATTGCGCTTGCGTCGCCGTCTGGAGCAGCGCCGCCGGAGCTGTTGGCGCGTCGAGGACGCTGGCGCGGCACAGCGGGCAGGTGGAGTGCCTCTCGAGCCAAAGGCCGATGCACTCCGGGTGGAACGCGTGCGGGCACGTCGGGAGGAGGCGCAGGGCGTCGTCGTCGTCGAACTCGAGGTGGCAGACGGAGCACTCGAGCACGTCGTCTTCGCGCCCGTCCACGATCCGGTGCTGCCTCACCTCGCGGAAGAACACCAGCGGCAGCGCGGCGATCGCGGCGGCGTCGAGCCCTCCCTTGCGGCTGCCCCCGCCGCCGCGGGGCCACTCCGGTGCCGACGCCGCGTCCGGAGCCTGCGGGTCGTCGTCGGGGGCCCGGAACAAGCGGAGGCAGGCGAAGGCGAGAAGCACGACGAAGACGGGGAAGAATACGGCCATGAACACAGAGATGCTCATCACGTCGGCGATCATTGGGTTGTCGCGCGGCTGTACGCAAGGATGGCAGTTCAGATATTTCTGCCGTACGCGGTGCGCTCGTGCCGCGTTAACCAAGACAAGAATGGTTGGCAAATTTCGCATTTTGAAAAAAAACAAATATTACTCCTTTTCTTTGAGTTACAAACTATTGTGTTACAATTTACACTAAACCAACATATAACCTTTGAATGCTAATATAGCCTTTAAGATATTGCAGATGATCCTTTAAATCGTTGTTCGATGCATCTCTTGACGAGATTCAGTGGCATTATAGATGGCGTTGCCGACCCTAAGACAACCTCGATGTGCATCTCTCTACTGGTCTTTCCAGGAGGCGTTCTCGAGCTTCTTCGGCAAAGAACGAGCTTCAAATCGATTCTACCGACTGGCTGGTCGGTACATATTGATTTCGGAGTTACTCGTTGCGTGATTAAGTCGTGTGCGACCTCGATCGTGCTAGCCTTTGCTATCGTGTGTGTGATCCAAGATTCAATCCATCAGCATCAACACTATACAATGAGATTATCATATTCTAGAAGCAGTTTCAATGACATATCTAATTTGCAAATTTCATGTAGCAAATCTACGTGCTTTACAGGAGAGAAAATAGGACAGCTAATAAAACAATGGACATATATAGTAAATCATAGCAAGAGTAAGAATTCGTCATGATAAAACCTACTCATGTATACATAGGTTATTTCTACTGGTTAATTATCTTCGAACATAATTTAATTAGTTAATTTTTTTGAGAAACAATTACTAGTTAATTATCTTCGAACATGGAGTATATTGAGTACTAGCGTGAGTTCCCACGCTTCGCGTGGGAAAGAGGGCAAAAAAAAAAGGGAGAAAAAGATGGAACGGGTTTGTACTGCTCTGTAACGGGTATATACTGTTCCCGATACTGTTAATAGCGCCGGATGAACAGTAAAACGCCTCGAATTTAAAGTTCTTATATAGATATAGATATGCCTTCAACAAATTTGGACAACCGCGCGGCCCGCCCTGTCCAACAAGTCATTTTCTTCTGAACGGACTAATCAGCCCAACAGGTAGCGTTTTTTATTCCATTCCACATTCCAGGCACAGATGCTTCCGTGACACGGACAGCATAATGAATTGAACGAATGGAAAAACACACACAAAAAAAAAGGTTTGGGTAGTGTCCTGTGTCGTACCGAAATTCCTCTTCTCTCCTCGCCAATCAGCTAGCGGGCGACATGCCCCCACTTAATTACCCTATATTTTTGCTCCATTTCTCCTTCTTTTATTCCTTGTTCTCTTCCCACCTGTCCCATTTTCTTACTTTTGGCTGGCCCTTTCCTTCTTTTTATCTTTTTTCTAGTAGATAAAAAGCATCGTGCCATTTTAATTTTGTGTATTAGGATGCTCTACTAGTAGACATTTTTAGAAACTTTTTTCTTCCAAAACTTGCTTTCCCACATATCCCATCTATTATTTTTTGCACATCCCTTCCTTGTTGTTTTTTCTCTTTATACACATCGTGACGTCTTTCTACATATCTCTCAAAAATAGTTTTCCAAAATACTTATGACCACAAAATATATTCAAATAAGTCTTCGCCAAAATTATTTTGTAAAATTTTATGTATTAGGAAGTTTTCTAGTAATACATCTGGACAAGTTTTGAACAATTGTTCGAAGATGTTTTTCTTGTTCCCACCGGATGACGATGTGGGTCCGCGCAAGCAGCGCTGCCATCGCTTGGCAGCCCGGGTATAGCCTCCTAGCCAATGCCGCAATTCGGGTTGATCACTGTCCAATGTAACACCATAGCTTTCAGTACACTAAGTAGGGTCCGAGCGTCCATGTAAATCTCTTATGACCCCCTAGGGTGCCGTTAAGGCGTGTTGTATTTGTTAGAAGTAGAGAGCGAGACAAAAGTGAGAGATGCAAATGATTCTGTGTTGTATTCCAAAAAATAGTGTGTACATATATATACAGAGCCCATGTGGATGGTTACAAGTGTGAAAGAGAGAGATGGGTGGAAAGACACCCTATGGATTAATCACTAATTGAGCACTAAATAATAATTCTCAACACTCCCCTTTGATCAATTAGCTCATTGTAGTCTTTACTGTTCATCTATTATACATCTTTATGAATCTTTGGAAAACCCTATGGGAAAAACCAAAGTAATACCGGTATACTAGACAAAACTCCTTAAAACCCAATGAAAAAATAAGGAGAAACACCATGATATATAATTACCAATGTTATTAGACCCTTTGAGATAAACCCAAAGCCTTAGTCTAAAAACACCTTAACCATAGGGTCAATATGCTTCAAATATCATCTTCCAAAAACCGCGGTGGGGAAAAATAGATGATATAGCATATACCTTTGTGTTGAACATTGCCTCATCAAAAACTTTATATGAGAAACTATAAATGGAAAACTCACATAAAGAAAAGAGTACAATGCATCTTATGTGCCAATATCATCCACCAAAAACCCCTGTGGGGAAAAATAAATGATATGACATAACCTTGTGTTGATATTGCCTCATTAAAAACTTTATATGAGAAACCCCAAGAAAAAACTCATACAAAGAAAAGAGTGCAATATGATGTTTGTAACAAGTTATTAATCAGAGAGACTCTTCCCATGATACTAGCAAACCTCGAAGTAAATTCATACCAATGCACTCAACACATAAGAAATATAGAGTATGGTAGATTCTGTTAATATCTCTGCAAGATTATCCAAGACTTAGTTTGCAAATGTTCTAATGCCCATATTACCTATGGAATAGAACCATCTTAGTGCAAAATATTACATTTAATATAACTTGTCTCCATCTACACAACACAAGTTGCATTACCTTTATAGATAATGACTATTGATTCAAAGAATCAACACCGCATAACTTCAATATGTGATATATCATTCTGTCAAGCTATACACATTCATGTGAAGCCTTGTACAATGCAATGTCAGAATGATTAATGGAATTGACCACTAAATGTATATTTAAAGACTATCACAAAATGGTCATTCCCTATCCATGTAAAGCCTATTTCAATGATCTGAAATTTGGAGATCTTATAGATAACCAGAATCATTATATCCACATAATCGGATCATGGATTACACCAGGACCACATGTGCTATTTAAGATATCAAAAGATATTATTAACTTCAATCCACCAATATTTGGTAGGAGTAGCGTTGCTACTAGATAGCAAATCATTACAAAAATAATATCCGGTCAGGAACTTTTGCAAGATTTATTAGCGCATAAATAGCACAGAGATAATGGACCACATGTCCCAATATCTCATCTCAGTCACTATGGCAAGAAACAATCTTCCTCTATCATGAGGTAGAATAACCATAGGATACCTTCATATTGAATCACTCAATATGATCTGGATATAGATAGCTTTTCGTACAAAATCCTAAGAGAAGATGCTTGGATTATAAACACAAAATGAAATTTTGGTTTAGTCTGTATCTTCCATCTCAAACTTCGTCTTTAGATTACAACGTGCTATTCACATGTGTTCATCACAAATGATGTCAAGATTATTGACTATCAAATAACACTATGAAATCCAATCAAGGACTTCAAAATGAACACCACGTGTAATCAATCTTGTATCCCTTCAGTTTAGAAACTACACAAAGTCGATTGTACCAAATTCGACTTAACTGCTTTAAGCCATATATTGACTTAAGCAATACACAATATATGTTGCGATTTTATGTATAAGAGTTGGGTATGTGAACTCCTTCCTGGAAGCTTCACAAATACACCAAATCAAGTGATCATATAAATATATACAATCACTACATCTATCAACTATCAACTGTAATGATAGATGCTTTTGTACTACCAATCAAAAGATAGTATCAAAAATTTATAACTTACTATGGAGAATAATTTGCATTGAAAATCAATGCCTAGGCTTTGCGTAAACCCCTTGTGCTACTAGTCTTGCTTTGATCTCACCACCACATTGTTCTCAATCCATTCTAGGACAAAAACACTTTTGTACCCACAGTAAAGGTACCCTGAGGTGTTGGCATCATAGCCCAAAGCACCTCTTTTCTGGTGAGTAAGACTATCTCTGCATGTATTACATCACTCAACAAGTTCTAGTAAGAGTGAGCAAAGCACTCTGCCATGGTCTTATTGACTGGACTACTTGGAATGTTGTATACAGTTTATTCAGAGAAGTACGTGTCGACACATGTAGCCTTTCTATGATATAATTTTCTGGTCCATCAAAACTCAAAATACCCTAAATGACTCATCGTGACTTCACGAAACGAGATTCAGGGCTTCCCGATATCCTAGCATCAACATTTAGGTGCACTTCTGAGCTAGGTTTGTGGATGACATCCATCCACTGGGTAATAACTAAATTTTACTCACAAGGTGTCGCCAACCATAGGTTGACATGCATTTACTATCTTATTAGAAGGAAAACCTTTTATTGCTAGCATGAATAATCCTGCTTTATGGCCATACTTCTCCCCCTCTTATTTATAATTGAGAGTTGAGTGGGTTTACTTGGTACCACCACTCTTTCTGGCACATACTTCTCATGGATTAAAAAGTTTATAAGACACCTTAGTAATCAGTAAATACATTTGGCAGTTTATTTGTAAGATTATGTAAATCAACAATTCTTTGAACTCAACATTTAGTACGTGATCCTGAGCTTGAAATGCCTTATGCATTCCAAATAATTTCCTGGCATTATGTATGGTACATCAAATCTCCCCTAATGCCAGTAAATGCTCATTATCAAAATAAAACTAGCATATGGGTCGTAAATAGATCCTCCATAAGAGATCTAAATACTTAACAATCGATGGAGATTGAAATCTCACATTGATCCCCAATTTCCTGTGTGTACCCATCAATGTATGATGTGGTGGTGAGATTAGTACATATACAACGTGCTCAATCTTACGCAAATAGGAAAT